AAACTAGCCTACAGCTACTGGTGATCCACCTGCCTCAGGCTGTGAGTGCTAGCATCACAGGTATGTGCCAAATTGCATGGCCTTAGGAATTTTTCCACAAATCAAATGACTCAGGTTGTGGTACTTGCCTATAACTCCAGCATTCTGAAAGGGTAAGACAGGAGGATGTCAAAGTCCAGAGCAGCCTAGACAACTTATCGTTTTAGCAAGACTATGTCTGAAAATAAGAAATTTAAAAAAGAGCTGAGGGTGCAACTCAAGTGTACATGCCCCGAATTTAACCCCCATAAAAATCTAATGAAAATGGCTTGAAAGTTTGCGGAATGTGAGCATTTTTATTCTAAAAATAGCTGCATACACAATTATTAAAATATTGAATGAGAAGTATGCTTCTATAATGATGGAAAATGCTTTCCTCTAGCTATCTGTATGATGGATGAAAACAAGTTTTGAGTTTGAAGATAAAAAAAGTGAATCTTAGAAGGTCTCTAACTTAGATTAAGCCTTGTAGTACATAAAAAAGTCACATTTCATGAATGTCATAAAGCCAAACTTCATAGGACACTCACCTTCAGGTTTTTTTTTTTTTTCCTTTGCTGGTGAATTGATGAGAACTATAATAAGTATTTGGCCTTTGATATCACTTTATATACATCCATTGTTGTCTAGATAAAATTGTCCTGATAATTATCTTTCTTTCTATTCTCTATTCTTTGTGTGAACAGTTCCCTTTCTTAAAAAAATAAAACCAATTATATATAATCTTTATGGGAGATTGAATTATTAAAGATGTTTGAGTTGTGTCCCTGGGTGGTAAATTAGTAAATGATTTCTAACAGGCAGTCAAAACCCACAAAATATATTCTGTACAGAACTGACTGGAGATGTTTTTCCTAAGTTATTTGCAAAATAGTATAGTTAGGCTTTGATCTGAATGCAAAAGCTTAAAATAATTCAAATTCAAATTTTATTTTTCCAATTTCTCTTTTATTTCTCAAAGTGTGATATATGCCAGTTTGTGTTATGCCAATTTTTAAAAAAAGTTTCAACTCAATCGTAAGCTGTAGTTTGAACTCTTTAAGTTATTGTTTAAGTTCCAATATAATTTCAGCATGGATTGATCTCACTACAGATTTACAGTCATTTTGTAAAGTATCTTTTTTAGAGATAACAAAATATGAAAATATCTTAGATGTTTAAATATATTGAAATATTTTAAAATACTACTTTATCTACCAAGGGCCTGATAATACTTTAATACTTACGGAAATAATATCAAATATGTTGAAATTTGTAGAAGTCCTTATTTTAAAAGTTGTTACAATAATTCCTTTAAAGAAAAACATTTTAACTATCCCCCACCTAAAATACTGAGAAACACTTGACAGTATTTTCTATTGAGCAGACACTATAAATTTGGATAACCCAATGAAAATGTTTAAAGTTTTCATATGCCAGATGTCCCCAACTATTTTGTTAATTAAAAATCAATTATGAAATCCGAATACAACATTACAATCTTAATGTTCATCATAGTTCCATAGGACTGGAATACACAATTGAATCTTTCATCAAAAGGTAAGCATCTCTGCTCAGGCAAAAAAAAAAAAAAAAAAAAAAAAGGAGAGAGAGAGGAAAAAACACATACTAGCATTTTTTCATGGATATCTATCCTCTTCATAGCATTTTACATAAAATGGAGACTATATTAACAGGAATAGATGATTATATGTTATATTAAGACATTTTCAACATTCAGTATTATAAAGTTATAATTTAAGGGAAATCAGTGTGTTTTGGCTTAACAATTTTAATCACAATGTGTAAATCACAGTAAAGAATGTCACTATAGTTCAGAAGAATCTTTATTCCTTCATTCCTGTTTGTAAAAGAAGCTGATTATTATCAAATGATCTTTTGATTATCAACATGTGCTGCTCTTTTACTTGACTGAGTTAAAACACATACAAACTGGTCCTTTATTGATAGGAGTATTGGCTAAACTGGTAGAGATTTTCTTTTGGGGAGGTCGAGGGGGTCAAAGTGTAATTATCCTTATGCAAAAATGTCAATCACTTGAAAGAAGTGAACATACTTGAATGCTAAACACCTGACCTTTTCAAATAAATGCAGACCTACCTTGATTTCCAGAATAAGGCTCTATTCATTTTCACGAGACAATGTTTTCACAAAATAGAAGGCAAAACAGGTGTTATGTACTTAACAGAACTCATAATTTAAATAATTAAAACTAATTTGTGTTTAAAGCTATTTGCAGATTTATTAGAGAAACAAATACAAATATGCATTTCTACAGAACTGTTTTTTTTTTCCAAAATGATCTTAAAACTTGTTCCACAGTATTCACTTGTTTATTTATCTACGGTAACCCAAGTATTGGCTTCTGTACCACTTGTAATGAGACAATTGCCCTTCCATTGCAATTATAAAAAACTATTTAAAAAAAAATTCGGCACATACACGTTAAATATTTTTCCTT